TTCCATCTCTGCCTTGGCCTTCCTAACTACCCCCCTACATCCCCGAGCAACTGCAGAATAGCCCTCCCTGGTGATGACCCCTTCTTTCCATTGGGTGTAAGCCTCCTTTTTAGCAAGGAGATATTCCCGGGTGCTTTTGGTGAGCCATGGAGGCTCGTGTGCTCTCCTGCTCCCTTTGATCCTCATTGGGATTACCTTCCTTTGGGCTTGGAGGATTGTCTCCTTAAGGAGCGACCACACATTTCTGAGTTGCAAGCAGTTATGTTATACAATCACCTCATACAGTACTTTAACTTACTTAAATTCCAGTCAGAAATAGTATCATCATCATCAAGCTCATCATCATCATCATCGTCTTCCTCAATACCATCTTCTTCATGCTGCTGGGCCACTGTTCGTGAACGATGAAAACGTGGTCTTATGTCCTGTTCACTATCTGGAATAGCTTCATCTTCTTCAACATCCCCCTACAAGTTAAACAATGCATTTAGTTAATTTGCAAGCACATTTAATGTTTCAGATTCAACCATATTTCTTACATTTAAATATAAAATAGTGGATAATAGATTTGTGAAAACTGGAATTAATTTAAGACTCACTGCCAAATCAAGATGACCAAAAAAACCACAGGCAGTCCTCGGACTTACAACATAACGGTTTCTGAAAATTGAGTCTTAAGTCGAAACGTTGCAACTCGGAACTGTTTTTCCAATAGGAAACAATGTTATAAACGGAGATTGGTTCCTGAATCAAGGCCAGGAACCCTATTTTCACTAAATTAACCCAGAATTTTGTACTCAATCAATTATAGATAAATAATATATTAATGCATTTATAATGTAAATAGCCATCATTAGTGTCTTTGAGGTGACTTTGCTGGACTTTTTGAAGGGCTCTTGGTTGAACTTTTTGAAGGGTTCTTGGCTGGAGTCTTCTCAGGAGTCTTGTCTGCTTTCTTAAAGAAAGTGTCCAAGGCAGTTTGGACAGATGTTCTCCAGGGACATGGGCAATGCAGCGAACTTGTTCGCTGGTGTTGCATCACATCGGATCAAGCGTTGTAAAGTCAAAACTGACATCAGAAAGTTGGAACACGGTGTCAATTTACAAACGTTGTAAGTGCAAAACATAACTCGGAACATTGTAAGTCAAGAACTGCCTGTATTACTAACGTCTATACTCTGGTCATGATTCTTCCAGAAACAGAATGAAAGAACTAGGCAAGAATTCACATAGGAGCAATATTTTTAATTGTTCAGAAACATGAAAGTAATGCTATTCTTTGGCAGAAAAAAATTGATGAGCGCAGTCTCCTTAGACAGATTCTTGCTAGCAGAAATGGTTTATATAACATGGAATATTTCCTAGGACACTGATGTACAGGTAACTAAATCAAAACAATGCATTAAATTGAAAAACTTGCTCACCTTCAGCAGAATAATATCTATTTCGGAGTACTTCATACCATTTACTAACACAGGTATTAACCTACAAAGAAAAATGTTAATTTTGTTAAAACAAATGCATAAATCAGTCAAATACATAACGTCCAACATAGCCAAATTTCTGTTTTCTCAGGCTACTTTCATTATGCAGTGACAACTTTGAAGCCTGGTTCCTAAAACTAGACTCCTAAATACAAGCAGCCTCATTTTTAAAAGTTGCTAAGGACCTAAACCTTCCAGCTTAAAAAGTTGATTTTTAAGTTACAAAAATCTAACTTCACTCAGCTTAATCATGGTTTGGCTTCCCTCAGTCTAAAATCGTACACATTCCTAAGAGCTTCTGAATACTGCCAGGTTTCCCCGAACATGAATTCAACTTCCTTTGACATGATGTACAAATTGTTATATCTAATCATGACATAATCAAAGTCTAACCTCGTAGTGCAACAGTATCATCACAGTAAGTTCCAGTACTGCCCACATACAAAAAAGGAGAAATGATGTAAAGAAAGCCCATCATTAAATGAAATAATAAATATTGGCATCTTTTTTCTACTTGAAGATAAATGTAGTTGGCTTAACTTCATGGCTGCAAGTTAAAACAGGTTTCTATTAACGCCTTTTGTTGATTGATATTATATATTTTAATCATCTTGGCTATATTTTAAATTACACTGACTGAAAAAAAAAACGTGTTGTGGATTTGTTAAATTTCTTGAAATCTTTTACCATTGTAACTGATGGGGGGAGGGAATTTTGTAAGTTTTTGTTATGGATTTTAAAAAGCCAGTACTAACAAGGGCTGCACACAATAATTTATTTCTCGCAACAGCACATTTAAATAAAAGTAGCAACTTGCCAAAAAGCATGTTTTTGATTTATGGTTATAAAATCAGAGGGAAGGCGGGAGAAAAAAACAGTACCCTGTAAACACATCTAAATTAAAAGCGTATAGATGTAACTTGATAGAGGATCTCTCTCTCGCTCTTCATGTAGAAGAAAGATACCAATGTTTAGTTCTAAAACTAAGGAAAAAATCCAACTCCTCTCCCCCCCCCCGGAAATAAAACACTTGGTAAGTTATTTTAGGAAACAGACTTAAAGGCACACAAACACAAGATAATTCAGCTTACAGTTGTTAGCTTGTCAGTTTAATTTTTTTTCTACATTTGTTTGAAAGTAAACTTACTTAGTAAGATGGCGACATAGTACATCTTTACAAATTGGCTGCTCAGCCAAGGTCAGCCAAAATTCACAAGCCTCCAAAGCCACATTTTCATCTTGGTCCTGGGTCCTCTGAAGCATATACTACGTAATATTGAAAGAAACCATTTTATTAGTTTTAGACTTCTACACATCCAAGTGAACCTATCAAAACTACAAGTGTTAGTAATTTAACTTTGCAGCCTGCAATTACGGTCAGTCAGGTTAAAAATGGTATAATATAATAGCTGCAATGAATTATTTTTCTGACTAGCCTTTGGCAAAGATCTTTGTTCTGCTTAGCACTACATGACTCAGATACTATGGGATTCAGTGATTAAGTTTGCTAGTCATCTCTGAGATCTCTATAAATTCCTTGCTTTTACATACAATAAAAAATCCCTTTTCTTCCCATTTTTCATTACATACTGCTAAAAGTAGCTCCACATTATTTTTCAAATATATAACTACAAGAATGGTTTAATACCTAAAAAACATATTTCCTTTCATAATCTTAATTTCAGCAAGGATATGTAGCAAAACAAAACAAAAAAAAGCAGCAATGACTATCAGTGGCAAAGCAAATCTTATTGCTAGCAAGAGCAAAAACTCAACAACCATGTAAATAGATAAACATCCTTAAAAAACTCCCATTACAGTTTCAAATCAAACCCCAACTTCATGCATGTTAGTTATATCATGCATGTGTCACCTCCAATGCCTAACTACCAATTTCATTCAAACTTTCTTCAACTATAGCTCCCTCCCCCCTCCTTTCATAATGACCCTTACACCTTAAAAACAACTATGCAAAGCACCACACCCCAAATAAGAGAGACACTGGAGTTTTGTTTTTATTTTTTAAAGAAATTGAAGAAAAAAATTCCTTGAAAATACTGCTATAAATGGTATTTTGCTAGGGAAAAACCCAGGCAACAGCAGCAGCAGCAAAGAGAGCAAAACACCGGCTTTTTTGTTAACTATGAGCTGCAGGACACTGCACGTACTACTGGCTGATCCAAACTTCCTGACCCTCTTCTCTTCTGGAGCTGCACTGAGCTACAGGCAGCCAGTACCTGCCAGGTCAGCTGAGGGCCTGGTCCTAACCAGTAGCACAAGCTCAGTCAGTTGAGGGCTCACCCAGCTGATTCAGCCAGAGCCTCTGCTTCTGTCCTAGCACCATGATCTCAGCTTCACTTCAGAAATACAGCAAAGCTGAGCCAGCAACAGCTTCTGCAGCTCAAGTCTCTGCTGGTGGGAATAGGTTCCTATTGCCGACAGCCAGCAGCTAAGGAGCCCCACCAGTTCACTATACTACCCACTACGCGCTGCTGCATTACTTTCTCATCCCCCCCCAAACCAGAGGCTCCTTCCACACATGCTGTTTTTACCACATTTCCTCCTTAAAATGTGTACCCCAATATTCAGCAGCTGATTTTGGAAAATGGTGCATATTGTATGCAAGAAAGTGAGCCCTTTGTCACTTAAAAAAAAAGACAAAAAAAAAAACCACACAAAAATCCTTGTATGCTACACTATACCTGGAATGATTACCTCCTAAAAATATCCTTTTCCTCACTGCTTCAGAATGCCAGAGTTCACCTCCAAATGTCTAGAAGGATGCATATAACCATCACCATGGGATATCTACACACACACAATTTACTATGAATTTATCATTTTGCCATAGAATAGTGCTCTAAAATCCAAACTTCCTTAAAGCAAGTCTATTTCTAGTCCCTATAGTTGGAACAACCATGAAAATGTAAACTGACTGGACAGAGGCAGAAAACACTTCCTTTGTTAGCTCAAGTTTCAGGCCGTCTGCAAACAGGTACGAATTATCCCATTCAGTTATGGCTCTGTGAATACTACAACTTGTTACATAATCTGACATTTTCTGCAAAAGGTTATATTATCCAGCATCTTAATATCATCATATTTTATTTACTCCTCCTGCCCTATTATCATCTGCCCCAGGCTCTCCCCCTAGAAATAAATTAGCTGGATTATAGTTAAGGCCTAGTTTAAATTGCAAGTTCACATTTCTTGTGAAAATCATGAAATTAAGTGATTTTCACCAAAAAATGAAAATTGCAGTGATTTGCAATAAAAACCATAATATGGCCACCAACAAGTGGCCATATAGCATTTCGTTGCAACAAGCTGGCTGCTGCAGGCTGGTGACCAGCAGCAAATGCCTAGCAACCCAGGGGAGAGGGGAAGGGGTTGCAAAAGGGACAGGGGAAGGAGACAGGTTGGGGGATGAGTAGAAGAGGGGCTGTTGGCTCCTCTGGCCAGGAAGACTGGTGTGCAGGGGGTTCAGGGTGCCTTGGGGCTGCCTTGGCAGACAGTTCTTACACCAGCACAGACAGAGGAGGTGTTTGCTTCTCTAGGCAGAACTGGGGTGCCAGGGGTTGGGGGAAAACACACAGGCAGAGGAGCAAATAGCACCTCCCCTATCTATCCTCAAGCTCTCACCTCTCCCTGTCCCTTTTGTGAGCCCTTCCCCCTTCCCTGGGCCTCTAAGCTTTTGCTGCTGACTGGGGAATGCTTTCCCAGGTCTGCAGCAGCCATAGGAGTAAACATCCCCTCCATCTGAGTGCAAAAATGGCAGCCTCCACCACAATCAGGCCATGGTATTAGTGAGCTGGACCCACAATTTAAACGAGGCCCTAATTATATAGTTTGGGGCCTACTGAATTCACAGTGGAAGTGGGCTGCATGGCCGCTCCTTTAATCTTGCAGGTTCCCCCATGCACTTCCTGCCAAATGGCAGAGGGACCCCACCACACACTCCTGATCATTTTTGCCTCATGGACAGTCAGCAACAAGCAATAGGGCCACTGGGGCCCCTCAGTCAATGAGCAATGGTGGGGGGCAGGGAGGGAGTGGAGGGATGCATTGGGGAACCTGCAGGATTAAAGGAGCTGCCACGCAGCGCACTCCCACTGTGATTTTGGTGCGTCCCCAATTATAGTGTATGTCCTCTGTACTGTTCCATGATGGCCTGGGGACTCACAAGCCAATTCCAACTTGCAGTTTAGGAAACTAGGAATATTAGCGTGCCAGCTATAAAGCCTACAGATCATTACAAGAGCAGAGACCAGAAGAGTGAATTAGCTGAGAAAGTACAGAAGTATTTCATTCTAAAAACACTTTTAAAAATTTGGTAGGTTCTCAGGAGGTAATTTCAATTATGTGCTACAGCTATGAATGTGCATGCTGTGTAGGGGAATGGGAAATTATTTTATGGGAAACAAAGCTATTACAGCAGAATTTGGGGGTCTTTCCCATGATTTGGGCCTCTGCACATTCTACAGTGCAATGAGACCAAATAACCACTATCTGCAGTCTAAGAAAAAAGGTTTGCAATAAAGCTCAGAACAAGTGTTTCCAAAGCAGAGACACTACAATTATTAATACTTTAGCAAAAGGGATCAGATGCTCACAAGTCCCACAGCCTTTACATCCAGATTCAAGTCCAATATCTACATTGTAGGCTTCCATCACCAGTAAGCTACCCTTTCCAAATCATCTCTCTACCCCACATTTAGCAAAAAGTGACACTTTTTCCTTTGAGAAATGCTCACTGTTTGATAAGGATGCTCTACGTCAGGGGTGTCCAACTTTTTTGAATGTGGGGCCGGATCATGAACTTTTTAATCACCCTGTGGACTGGCGAACCACATTCAAAGACCTCACAGGAAGTGGTATCACATCAGCCCCCCCCCCAGAAACAAAAGTACAGTGTTTACTTTAGTTTCCCATCGCAGCACCTCAGGCCTCAGAAAACAGTTTGGAGGGCCGCATGGTGGCCCACGGGCCATATGTTGGACAAGCCTGCTCTATGTGAATAAGACTAAGTGAAATCTGTTAGAACTATTCATCTTCCTAGGGCCAGCATCTTCCTTGAACTAAAACAGATCATCTTGCTCCAGCATTTACTCCTAATTCATTTACTGATAGTACACAATATTCTTCTCAGCTTTCATTTTGTTATACTGAAACAATCACACACTTCTCATATCCTCTCATGATAGGACCTTCATTCTCCAATTATCCTAGTAGCTCTTCTTCCAGTCTGGAGTTGGAACATTCGCTTGCTTTTGAACACAGGTGACCATTATCTTATACAGTATTTCAGATGAGGTCTCACCAGTGCCTTGGACACAGGCATTAATACTTCTCTACCTCTGCTGGAAGTACAATCCATCCCAACCCATCCTAGGATCATATTCATTTTTTCTTCACCTTTATCATACTGCTAGCTCATAGTCATTATCTGCCAAACTAATACACTACAATCCTTTTCTCACTTGTTATCAACTGATCGACTCCCAGACTAAGTTTTGCTTTTGTTATTAGTTCTTCAGTATATGACCTTCCATTTGGTGCTAGTGGATTTCATCCTATTTCTATTAGTCCAAGTTTCAAGGTCATCCAGTACTTCCTGTATGATATTCCAAGCCTTCACGATATTCTTATACCTCCCAAATTTGTCATCGATAAGTTCCACTGTATATTTCCATTTTTTCTGCACACATCTTTTATGAAAACAATGCGATTAGTCCCCAAAACGATCCTTAAAAAACTTCACTAGTAACATGGTACTTCTTCCAAAACTAACTGTTAGAAGTCTCCCCTTCAGCCAATTCCTTAACATTTCTCTACTGAGCCTCATTTTTTCAGCTTCACTAGGTTTTCCATGTGGCGCCATGCCAAATGCTTTCCTGGAGGCAAGACAGTGTAGATGTACCACACTTAAAAAAAATGCCCAGGTTAGTCTGGCATGATCTACCCACTCTAACCTTTGGTGGATTCATGTTGCATGTTACCCAGTTTTTCATTTACCTCCATATTGTCATTTCCAGTATTTATCTTAACTTTACCCAAATATATCACATTATTGAAACCCCACCAAAAAAGTCTTCATATAGTTCTGGGACCACACTTGGGATTAATGCTAAAATCTCTAAACCAGTGGTTCTCTACCTTTTTAGACTCAAGGTACCCCTTGGAAAATGCCAGCTCAGTTTTTGCACTTTTTTTGAACTACTCAGAAGTAACTGTAACTGTAACAAGTAACTCAGAAATCTATAGTTATGGTCTTTCTATTAGAAATCTCTGGTTTTATCTTGTAAATCATGTTTGCAAACTTACAGTGTGACAACCCACAGCACCCTTAAAAGAATCTTAAGGCACCCCAAAATGCCATAGTACCTTGGTTGGAAAAAAAAACTGCTCTAGACGATCCTCACTACATGAGCAGTCCCACTTCAATCACTGTTCTTTCTTTATGAAATAAAAGAACCATTTATTTGTTCTAATATCTTTTGAAAGGTCTATGGGCCACTGTGCTGACACCATTCTCTTTGCTCCATGACGCCATGAATTTAAGCAGCACCAACTTTTCATTTAGGCAGCATAATGTGTTATTTGTCAAGATTTGCACTACAGAGTTCTGCAGAATAAGCAGGGATGATATACAGACTAGTCTACTGATACTCAGTCCCAATTCATTCAAGTTTCATTTCAATTCTTTCAAATACCAAGCACCTTGAATCTGAATACGGTTTTACACAACTGCTTCAGGAACAAGCTGGGGCAACTGTAATAAAGGAGAGGACAAAAAAGACACTAGAGGTGCACTGATATATTAGTTACCTATCAGATCAATAAAAAGGGAAATTTACATTATCAGTTATTGGCTTTTTTTGGCTGTTGTAGCTGATAATGTTCTCTGATAATTATGCCTTCTGGCCAGGGGTCTCAGACACTTGGGTTCCCTCCAGCCCATAGGGCCAGCACCCCCAGATGCCTGGGTTTCCTCCTGCGAGCTGCAGTGGCCCTGGATACACTCCTATCCCCTCACTGGCAGGCCAGACTGGGCTGAAACAGAGCGGCTGCCAGTGTCCCAGGCACTGGTATGGCATGGACTGGGGGCTGGGGCCAGGACGGGCACTGTAAAAGGTGCTGAATGCTGCAGTTGTGACTGAAGCAGGGAGCAGCGAATGGTGGAGCTGAGCTGCCTGGCCTAGCCCAACGTGACTTAACCTAAAGCGTAACTCAACGTGCAGTTAATATCAGTTATTGAATGGGTATCGACCAATATGGCTGGTTAATAATTGGCTATTGGTATCAGCCAGGAAAATCTTTACTGGTGCACCCCTAAGTGGTACACTCCTTTCTTCATATATACTGGATCTAAACACCAAGCACATTTTTACAGGATTTGAAACAAAGGCTGTGACCCACTATATCACGTGTCTGTTACAGATGCTGTAGGTAGTCTGGCAGGACACATGACATATACACCCTTGACCTGTCACAGACATACCTATTGTTATTAGTTTCAAATGTAAAACTGTTTACTGTTTATTGTAGAGAACAGAACCTGTTCTCTGGAAGATAAAAGTTTTACTCCACATCATGAAAAACCTATGAACTGCACCATCTGTGAAGATATAGGAGACAGTTTTTTGGAGTTCCTAAGAATTTTTGCATTAGCGCTCAGAGCATTCTCTTCTAGTATTCAATGTAGACACAGAGGTGTTTGTGTCAGTGTCAAAATAAACTCTGGGGTTGGCTTTAGTAATAGTGACGTCTCTTTCCTTTACATTATCCTCACCATAGCAATTTCACACATCAAGTACTTATCTCACAGGTACTGTATTTTCCCCCCATAAGCAGGATTCTGAGCCCCCCCCCCGGTACATTAAGAACTTTATGGACTAATCCCAGAAGGTGGAGTCCTTGGAAAAGAATAATCACATTGAGCTTCTGCTTGGAATGTGCAATGCCCCCCAGACAGAAGACGCTTCATCTATTAGCGTCTGACAGGACCGACAGGCTGTAAAGCCCACAGGTTCCAAATCTGTCATTTGAGAAAACCTATAGAAGGCAGTCTGACCAAAGAAATTCTGCCCACAAGGATGTTACCTGATTTTCAGTTTCAACTCCCATGAACATTAATAGTTCTGAATATTTGTAAAAGATTTTGAAAAAAAGTTAGCCTAAAGTAACAGGCTGGAAGCTTGCCATGTTCTCTCACCCCATCCTGTATACCACTGTATGGGGATATAAAGAGGCATCGTGTGCATGTGTGGCCCTATGCATCACTAGTTAAAACACCAATCCAGTCAAATGCAGTACAATAGAATCTATAATGACAACTCAAAGGAGCATTTACACTTAGGCCATTCACTAACTCCTGCATCAAGTTCTGGTGTCTGCTTTGAGGCATGACTGTGCACATTAATTTTTGGCAGGGGGTCAGACTTAATGATCTGCTCAGGTCCCTTCTGAACCTACCAGCTATGAAACTATGAATTTGTTTCAAGATTTAAAAAAATTCAGATTTATCACTGCAGTTCTACAGAAAGAACAGTATTTCTACCAGGAGCAAAATATCATGGAGGATGTGCCCAGTGGTGAAAAAAATATAAACACGTATTTTCTGAGCATTTAATGGCACCAAACGACTCACTACTATAAGATACAGAGGTATTGCATGAGAAGAAAAGTATTTAAGATTTTAAATCAACAGAACTGCCATAATGCCACATAGTCTTCCACCTTTAACTTACAAATGCTACTACCTTCTATTTGTTACCACCCTTATGCTAGAGGTGCAACTACTTGTCTAATGTCTGTACCAATTTAACTTGTCACTCTCAACTAGAATACATATTTTACCACTGCACCTTTCAAGGAACAACATTACAAGTTCTCTCAGAACTCTTCCCTTCCTTTCTTGCAGGGATTTTTGTATTACTCTTCCTTTACATTTTCTAAACAGTCAAAGTAACTATCATATGCAGAAAAAAGTTATAGGCTGTAACAAGGAAAATGCCTCCATTTCAAATCGGAGCATGCCGTACAAGTATTATCTCTATTAAAATGAAAAACGTATTTTTAACAGCCAGAACAAGAGGGACAAACTTATTTCTGAATCATTTAGTGTTCAACTGGGACAAGATTTAGCCTCAGAAGTTAAGGGATAGATTTCTTCCGGTATTTGTCAAAATGTTCATATATACCCATATAGAGCTTCCATTTTTCAAGCTCATATAATATATTCTGCCATCTGTATACAAATATTATTTATTTGGCTATTTACTGAGCTTACAACTTTATTTCAGAATTAATTAAGGGTCAGTAATATATGCTTATTTGAACTAGTCATCACATCTCCAAATAACCTGGGAAACAGAATGGTAATTTCAGCTGCCAAAAACAACCTATCTTCCAAGAAAATCAAACTAGCATTATTCTGGCATTCATCAGCCACTTGTCCCTTTGTTAAAATTTCTACTATGCCAAAAGAGACTTGTGCATGCAATTTAGGAAGATGAGAATTACCTCAACTATACTAATCATATGAGGAAGAAGACGATCCATTCGGACTTCCAGCAACATCACAAGAGCCCGACAGACATTTTTCCGTACTTCAGGCTCCTCGTCACCAGCCAATGCAAAGAGATTCTGTTAAGAGAAATTAAAATGTTTCTAATCACAATATTGTACATAAGGAAGTTCTTATCATTCAAATTACAACAGATGGCAAGGAGAGCTATTATACCAATATATGCTTGCGCTCTCTCAGAACACAATGGCATGCACCAAAAGACATTTACACACCCCAGTGGCTATCTACATGAAATTCTGACTTCACAGTTGTTACTGCGTAGTCACTTAGTACTTGCACACCCAAGTACTAAATGACTGCGCAGCAACTGGCATTACTGTCCAGTAGCATCAACGCAAGGCTTTGTCGTGACGTCAACTGTGCAACAGCTCGTTACTACCATGCAGCAGCGTTGCATCATGGATTGTGCCTTGCAATGCTACTGTGCAGTAGGGTCGCGCAAAGCTTCAGTCACTGATTAGATGTGGAGGAGATTCAGCCGCCAAATCAGGCTGAATCTCCAAATCGAATCAGGAGACCCATTAATTTCTCTGAATTGAATCGCAGGCTTCTGATTTGATGATTCAGCCGTAGACACAGCTTTATGTTTTTTCTACGTACCTTGAGGTACCAGGCATGGCTCATGAATGCTGAGATGGTGGGGTGGATGGAGTGTCCCATGGGAATGCACGGGGGGGG